GAAATGAAAATATTCAGTCGTTTCACCGCCTTACATGAAAATATTCAGTTAGCGTACCAGATTATAAGACGCATCCAAGTTCTTCCTTCCACTGCGCAGAAAATGGGATTAAAAGATTTGGATAACATTTAGCTAAAGCGCCTACTATATGAAATTTAACTGCAACCTCAAACAGAAAAGGAAGAGATATCTCAAAAAGTGAAGCAGAAATACTATAAGTTACTTTACATCTTGAGGAGAAATACTGGCTTCTTTCTTGAATATCCCCTTCATTTTACTGGCTTCTACGATCGGATTCAGTAGCATGCGCTATTCAAATCTGTTGTCTAATTTTATTATAAAAAGAACTTGAAAAAGATTTTTTTTGCAGGCACCTCTTAAAACAACAGCTAGAGATTTCTGGACTATGATATTACAAGAGAATGTACGTTATATTTTTATGCTGTGTAACATCAGGGAAAATGGTAAAAAGAAATGTCATGTGTACTATCCAAGAAGTGAAGGAGAACAAGTTCATTTTGGTGGTAAGTTAATACATTTGCATGTTTAGATAAAGTAAAAAGCTATCGATGATTTCCTTCCCCGTGAAGTTTTACATGTTTACGTTTGCCGTTGGAAGTGGCACAAGGCAGCTAAGCCACTGATGCATCTGCCCTTTATAGAAATGTGGATGCATGGGTCTTGAATAAGACTAGATTTTCGATTGTAGATTCCCAAAAAATGCACAAAAATCCTAAAAATTTTGTTTGTTCTAATAAATTTATAAAAATTGTGAAGAACTAGCTTCGGCAGTTTCGAGACTTGTAAAATTTTCAGAAATCACTATTACAAATATGAGCATCGAAGCAGGGGAACCGACGACAACAACGCAGCTGCAAGTTGAGAAAAAAGGCACAAAATTACTTCTCTCGCATATTCTTTGGGGCAAATGGTAAAAATTTTCCAGTAAAACTAATGTTCTTGCCATCGTAAAAAGCACTATGGTGTTGGAGTCGTGAAATCAACTCGTGCAAAGAATTGGATAATTTGACTTGATCCTACGGAAGTAGGAAGCCAGAATTTTGTGGATATGACAAAGCGATACCGAAAAACTGGTGCAAGTCCTAATCCTTCTAGTATTTTGCCTACTCTTCCCAGATTTAAGACTGCGTTAGAGACAGGAAAAAGCTTTCGAAATTTTGAAGATTTTTTTTTTTTTCAAATAAATGGGTCCGAATTGATTTTCAAGTTCTACTCGTTTCTGCTTCGGACTGTTGGATCATGCAAATCGATAAATTAGCCACATACTTGAAGTTTAGCTGCCTTTAGTGTGTACCACAAAAATCATGATTTAACGGCAGCCTGCGCGAGAAAATGCTGAAGCATTTAAGAAAATTTATCTTGATAATTATAACAACAAAGTACTGACAATAATGATAACAGGAAAATTTGACAACAAAGTACTGGTGACAGTAATAATGATAATGACAATGGAAAGCAGTATGAATAGTATTAGATGTTGTTAGCTCTGTTGTTTTAGGCCCGATCAGGGAGTACCACTGAGTGAAATGGTACCGTTCGAAATTATGAAACTCGCTCGTAAATCGACGGACCGTCCGTCTGTGATACATTGCTCAGCAGGTGTCGGGCGTTCCGGTACAGTGGTTGCTATTGAAATGTGTCTGCAGACACTTCTCCACCGTCAACCACTAAATTTAATGGAAGTGTGCAAAGAACTCAGAGGTTCACTTTTCTGGAATTTATGCCGTAAATTCGCAGCCACTCATAGCTTTGGAAGGCTCCCATCATGCTCCCGGATTTTTTCACTTGTAGTGCAAAATTATTGGGAAGTTTTGTACAGTTAACTGCTGTAGCTTATCTTCTTCTATGGGTCTTAGACAATATGGATAAGCATAGAAGGTTGATTTGTGGGCAAGTTAAAGAGAAACACAAGCACCTAAGGGATGAGACAGATCCGGCACTTTGAGGCATCAAAAAGACAGACGATGTCGATAAAATGAGTGCCATAATTATTACTAAATCAATGGGTTCCGACCATGGTAGCTATGGATAGTTACAAAAGCATGCTAGGATGATGCGCGTGCTTTTGAATGCTCACAAATTGCATAGAAACGTTCGCTTAAGTCATCGAATAAGTGTGCCTCCTAAATATCAAGATTCCCCCCAAAAAACCCTTCTGAAATCCTAGAACTGAGAAGAAGGGAAGAATTCACTCGGCTAACCCTCTGAACGTCTTTTATTTCGTAGACTTATGATTTAGGTATGCGTGCGCACAGTGTTCAGATGGATATACAGTATGCGTACATTGTGAAGTGTTTGCTTGCTTATGGTTGGTGTTGCGGTCTATTTCTTGGCAATCCAGCTCTAATTCAGGTTCGGTTTTACACACATTTAACAGGTGTTCCTCCCAGCCATCGACTTTCTTTAGGACCACAGCATTTTAAAGCACAACGTTGTGGAGTTTTCCATCTGTGATTACAGCTAAGGGATGAAACACAGGCAGATTCTTCTCTACACGACTCTTTGCTGCACTACTTTACAACACGAGATACAGTTTCATGCTATATTTTTTTAGCCATGCAATCCTTTTCTCTTATCATCTGCTTTTTTTAATTCTCCCCCATAAAAAGCTCTTTTAGCCAAACTCCGAGTTAATAGGATTTCAGATCATGTTCGCGGCCAAGCCCTACTGGGCTAGGCCGTACCATATTTTGGTAGCTTGTAGACGGGAACTTTCCCATGCTAGTACCACAGCGGCTTGGCATATGGCGACTCGGCTAAACTTATACATGCCAAGAAAAACTTTTCTATATCAAGATGTAAGGTTTAGTGTCACGCCACTTCCTGCATCACATCAGAATAAATAATCGGTTTGGAGCTATGAAATTTCACATCGCACAAAAAGCTTTGATGTTTTGGCCAGAATGCTCCCCATTCATAAGACTGAAGTGCAGAGATGGTACTTGATGCTCCTTTTCGGCAACTATATTTTTTTGGCCAGTAGAGCAGCTTAATACAGTCATGCATCCAGGAAAATTTGGCGTCCACATTTCCGGTGAAGAATTTTTTAGGAAGACTCCAAGTGCTTTTAGTTTATTTATGAAAAGAACTGCCAGAATCGGGAAGATATCGAAAATTTTAGGCCGTGACTACATTTTACACATATTTCCGCAGGAGATGTGACCAGCGGACACCATTTGTGAGCAACTGCTAAAACTCGGCTCGACTGGGCCCGGTTAGATTAGCAACTTGCGATAATGGTAGTATGCCACTTCGGATGGTGGGATAAAGTTGATTATAAAGGAGGTTAAACTGGAATTCTGGCTCAGCTTGCAAGGATCGTAGCAAAGAGGAGGTGATTGGAATACTGAATGAAAAGGAGCCGAAATTTTGCTTGGAGGCACTTTATGGGCTTTATATACCTTTCTTCCGAATGCACCATTAGAGAAAAACAATAAAGCAGAATTGCTAAATGATAAAAAAAATTATAAAAAATGATAATGAAGAAAAGTCACACGTCGAAAATCTCCCTGACTGAGGCAGAAATTGGTACTGCATAGACCGAATTCCCTTTGATTAAGAGCTTTTAATTGAAATGCGATTAGATCTGAATTTTATGCAACACTGAACAAATACACCAACAGTTTGAAGAGGCCCCTTTTTGCAGAAATCAGATAAGTTCGATGAGGAGTACAAGGCAGCGTTGGAAGTTGAAGGTTCA